TAGAGCTATAAGAGGAAACCTTCTTCAGCATTTAATATGTTTAGTTTTTCTTTTAGGCAAGATAAATAACATTTTGAACCATGGGCTCGCATAGTCAGAATGCAGGATTTAAAAATGATTGCCTAATTTTGTAAATGTCAATACTTAAACACTAATAAAAAGTGGTAAATTTAACATGCTCTCAAAAGGAAGTAAAAAGCTGTTTTGACCCTAGTGCTCTTGTATGTAACTGCTGTCAGAACTGGCTTAAAAACCTCCTGCATGTTGCAAAACCCTGCCTTAGCCATGACTTTCAATCAAATTGAGGTAGTATAAATAAAGCATACCTTTGCTCTTTCTTTCCTTCTTCACAGTTACATTTTCTCATTTATGGTTAGCACAGAATTCAGACCTAGAAGCACCTGAAACTCTACAACTAAATTTTAAAAATTGTTTAAATGGCAAATTTGATTCTTCTTGGCCTGATTACACGAGTACAAATCAGAAATGACTCCATAGAAGTTGCGGTGGCTATAGTAATATAATCTCAGTAGAACCTGGGAAATATATCAGCCCACAGGATACAAGCTTGTCATAAAAAATATTTGTCTTTAAAAAAAAAAATCAGGATAGAGATATTCTTGCTTCTTACTGAAAAATAATTTTGACTTTAAAAATACACTTATTGCACAAAGCTGCTCTTCATGAAGGAAAACTTAACCTGTGTACATTTGGCATAAAGTGAAATTTTACATTTTCCAAAACTATCGATGAGAAGACTTTTGTTTTTCAACATCAATACGTATTTTATCCAAAGCTGTATTATTAAATTCAATAATTCAGGTTTTTTCCTTGAAGTACACTATTGTGATTTGGCTTCGGTTCTATTACTTTGTAACGGATTGCAGAATTCAGCCACCTACAGTGCTTCACTTTCTTGTCGGTAATCATACAGTATTCCTTTTACCATAAAATGGTTGTAGGGGCTAACATAAATACCAACACAGCATGTTTCAGTACATGTAAAGAGTGTCACTTAAATGTAAATCTAAAGTATACCCAAATTAAAACCGCGACTGCATGGGGTTACATTTTTTCTCTATTAAATTGTGCTCTATTCCAAAATTTAACCACGTGTGTTGAAATCCACAAAAGCACGTTGAAGATAACAAAGAACCACCTGATCAACACAACGAGGTGGAACTAAGTCACTCCCAGGCGCTACCTGAAGTTCTGAGGGACCTTCTCAAGGTTACTACAGATATCAGAAAAGAAACCTCTGCATAAGAGGTGACAAACCAGCATCATTTACCTGTTACACACTTTGCGTGAAGCCCCTGTGGTACACAGGAGACAGGCCTGAGCTTTACAGAGAGAAACTTACTCTCCGCCCACAAAACCTGCCTGCAGACATATACCAATGTTGTGTAGCAGGCAGGCGTTGTCTAAAGCTTTGGAGTCCTCAGCACAAGGACATGGACCTTTTAGAGCGGATGATCGGAGGGCTGGAGCACCTCTCCTGTGAAGACAGGCCGAGAGAGTTGGGGTTGTTCAGCCTGGAGAAGAGAAGGCTCTGGGGAGACCTAATTGCGGTCTTCCACTATCTGAAAGGCACCTACAAGAAAGCTGGAGAGGGACTTTTTGTAAGGGCATGTAGTGATAGGACGAGGGGTAATGGCTTAAAACTGGAAGAGGGTGGATTTAGAATAGCTATTTGGAAGAAATTCTTTCCTGTGAGGGTGGTGAGACACTGGAACAGGTTGCCCAGCGAGGCTGTGGATGCCCCAAACTTGGAAGAGCGCAAGGCCAGGCTGGATGGGGCTTTGAGCAACCTGGTCTAGTGGAAGGGGGCTTTAAGGTCCCTTCCAACCCAAACCATTCTATGAAAGTTTACTGCAGGTAACTATGGACTATAAATATCTCCGTGGTCACAAGTTCAGTGTCAATTTGTTTCTTAAAGCACCCAAACCCCTATCTTTTATTTAATCATTGCTTCAGCTCCACATTGAGGGTTATCTCCAGGTCATATTAAAAACAGAGCAAGTACATTTGTTAGGCAGAAGTAGCTAAGTCTGTGTAAATCGTATCTCCTTATAATTTAACGAGGGCAGGGACACACAAAATTATTTATAGTTCTGACTTACTGCAGGAGTAGATGAACGTCCTTGGCTGCCTCTGCAGGCTGTGCTGCATGTCTGCAGCCCATCGCAACAGCCTCTGAGCTGATGGAGGGGAGATTTTGCCAATTTTCCACTGTCACCGAATCTCAGTTTTCATCCCTCCAACAGATGCTATTCAGTATTAAAGCCGGTCGAAACAGTGAGACGCATCTGTGTTATTATTCCTAATAGCAAACTTAATTAAAAAATACAACTGCAAAATGCACATTGCAAGTAATTTTCTTTTTAGGGATTGTTTTCATAGTAGTCTATTGAAACACAGAAGTTGTGTCTCTGCAACACTTTCAGTTGCAGAGATGCAGGAGGAGTTACTTCTCCTTGGTCCTCAAATAGAACAAAAATCAGAGGTAGTTCAAAATATATTCCTGCTTTTATTCATTATCATTCTGAATCTTTAGTGACATCCTGCATTATTTCACCTCAAAATCTAATTCCTATACATAACTCTGTGGCTTGCTCTTAAAAATTAAAATTCAACCTCTTTTTTGCCCCCTGTCACTTCAAGGTGGCAGAACCATGAGCACATACAAAACCCTATCAGTCTGATCTAAAAGAAGATTTCTCTAGCTCTCTTCCTAAATATAGACATTTGTGTACATGTGTACACACACACACAAACACTCTCTCGCCATGCAAGAGATTCAGTCACAGTGAAACCCAGTGACATTCTTTGTTGGCTCATTTCGGAGACATCAGTAACACTGTCACATTTATTGAAATTGCATCCAGAGCGTGTTTTCCTACCAGCAAGTTTTTCCTCAAGCAGGAGACAGGAGACATTGAGGAAGCTGCAGAGAGAATCACAAGCTGCGGAAAAGATTTTAACACTTGTTAAATAAGATGAAGCCATCACCGTTGCAGAAACAAGGACTGTGGCAGAATATGCTCAGGTCCCATGGCAGTCGTGATCGGTTCCAGACTTTCACCTCCACAGACACAGTCATCTTAGCTGCTGAGACTCAACTCCCATTTATTTGGGTGGGAATTGAAAATTTGGTCTGGCAAAGTTCCATTCCCTGAAGGCTGTGATAAGCAGATATAAAAACAAACAGAAATTGCCATACGATTCCAGTGTCTGTACTCTTTTCTCCAATATCAGTTTGCTTTCAGAGGACTCTTCACAAGATTACAAAATCACAAGTAGAAAAGAGAATAAAACAGTGCTGCTTTGGTTCTTTAAATCATTATCCTAGTTGAAAAACTTCACGTAAGCATCATTTGTCTTGCCAGTAGAAAAGCCTTTCTATTAATAGTTATAGTACGGCTATTTTTAAAGCTGTGTTGCCAAAAGCAAATAGTTTGAATTTTAATGTGGCTTCAAGTTCAACTTTTTTTCCTTTCTTTTTTCCCTTTCTCTGCTCATTAATTTCCGCTTAGTTTCCTAAGGATCTACCAGACACTACGGTACTTTTCACAAGAATTCTCTTAATCTGATTTTATGCTTTTAGATGACTTCTCTTTCTGGTCAGTTGATAAACATTTACAAGTTTCTGCAGTTTGAAATCCAGGAGCAAGAAGGTCCTTAGTCAGGCTGACTAAACCTGACACGGCTCCAACAGGGAATACAAGCACCATAGGGACAAGTCCCGGGAAGTTCATCCTGGGAGGAGCGGACAAGCTCACGTGTTGCACAGCTCAAGTCTCAGAGATCCCATGACAGGTTGGTCACAGTAATATTTGGTTGCGTAGCGCATAAGGCATTGTGTATCTATTGCTTTAAATGTGGGAGTATGTTGCCACTGACGAATACCTGATCAGTCGTGTTTCTCACCCTTGGGATCGCTATTAAGTATTTTCTCCCAAGCATCTGCGAAGACACGTCTTGTGCCTGTCGTGTGCACTGACTGAAATTCTTGGCATCTGCATCTTCCACAAAAAGTATTTCACAAGGGAAATATTACCAGCTCAAAATTCCCCATTTTGATTGCGATTCACCTTCCCACAGGTGCCCAGGACGGGCTTATGATCCAATAGCTGTTCTTTAAGGCGTTACTGCTGCATGTCCAGCTTTCCTTTCTTCAGCCAAGGAGGGAACTGAAGACCAGGTGGACTCACTGAACCATCACCCTCTTACAACCCTTTACGCAGAGGGCAATCAGGGAAGCAAATGGTTGCACTGGATAAGCGTAACCTTCCACCAGTAAGGCACACATGCTATTCATTAGCGTGCACATGTAGAGCCTTTCTTCAAAAGGTTTCCCCACTCCCATGACAGGGCATGAAATACTTTTCTCACAGTACTCCTTGACATTGTTATTGCTTATATTTTTATATACAAAAAGGTAGAACAGAGGTTTCTAAAACAATTTTTTGAAAAGGATAATCCAGTGCGTAGCTTTTCTGAAATATTAAAAACATAAAAGCACTACCAAAGTAGCATTTCAGGGAACTTCCCAACCAGAGAAGAGTGTTGGAGTTTTTGGTTTCCATACAGACAGTGCAAGATGTTCTCTGCCCACGCACAGAAGAGGTTCTACACCCACTCCCCAAAACAGCTGTCACTCCACAAGAGGCAAGGACAATGCTTCCGATAAGGTTTTAACGAACTGTTCTGTATGTAACTTAAGCAAACATTTTTATTACCCGTGGTAAGTAACTTTCTGTAGGTAAAATTGTCATTACCATTCCTTTAGTCACGTACCAATTTCCACCAGAGTCCTGCTGACATTAGGTGAAATTAGCACGTTTCTTCCCTTAAACTGTAGCCAGTGACTACACAAAGTGTTTTTTGGTTTTGGCTTCTAACAGAAGCTGTGGGGAAACATACAATACAATGCAGGCTAAACAAGTGTTAATTCTCTCTTTTTACAATTAAAATTAATTTTACTTTTGGTTTAACAGAATGGAGGAACAAATGCATTAGCCTTGCCCACTTCACTAGACTCCCTAAAAGACCCAGGACACCATCACCTCCTGGCTTACCAGTTCACTGTGGAACAGCAATCTACCACACCAGCAAGGACAAAGTCAGTCACAAAAGCCGGTGTCCTGCTGTGCCAGCTCCGTGATTGACAATTCTCAGATACCTTTAATGATGAATGTTTCCTTTCTCCAAAGCCATCACCTTTTCCAGTAAAGACAATCACACCTGAAGTGACTATGCCCTGCGGCTCTGGAGCCTGCTTTTCCTTCCCCCGCCGAGCCCCTGCTTCTTAGCACTTTGCTTTTCCTTCAGTCCAGGCGGATGAGCAAGGTTAGCTGACATAAACACAGCTGATTCAAAGAACAAACATGCTCTCAGGCTGATGGTGGATCTGTACACTTTTGCTTAAAGAGAAGCAAAGGGAAGAAAAGGGAGAAATGGAGATCTTTTTATATGTAGAGATTTCCTTTCCTTAAAAATCCCCAGACAGGTTAGAGAAGCACCATACATGACCTTGTAACACCTCAACCCACACCACAAATACAAAAGGAAAAGATGGAAAAGGAAAAATCAGTGTTGTTGGTTTGGGTTTTTTTTCCACACACCACCATGAATAGAAAAAAACCCCACTACTTAATTTTCAGCAAAAGCTTTATTTTAGTTCATAGGCTTGTTTGTATTAAAAACAATTACTTCAAAATCAAATTCACATAAAACTCAGCATGTAAATAAACTGAAGTTACCATTGGTCAAGAAATGTTCCTGAAAGGCAAGGGGTCCGTGTTACATCTTAACACACTTGCGTGGTAGCAGATAAAACTGGGACGGCAGTAGCATCTCCTTGTTTACAGGCTGAGGAAATTAAACTGTCCCCCCTACACCCCTTCAATACATTTTACACCACCAGCTGCAAACTGGTGCAGTTAAATGATTGTTCTATTTCCCATTAATCCATTGATCAACCATGGAAAAAAAGTATCCCAGTTTTATCTGCTACTTCATGGCAGTAAATGCTCTTCAGCGTTGTCACAGGCACTGCTATTTTCTTCCAGGAATCAGAGTACTTGTCTTAAAACACTTTCCTTACAACACCACCACACAGATTTTCAGAGGAGACTGTCACAATCAAGCTACATTATATACACATCAAATGTACAATTTTCTTTAAAAAATGCCGGTGTACAAAATAGAGGGTTATTTTATTTAAAAAAATCCCGCGCTAGATTTCAATTACATCAACATTTTAAAAGAACTGGAATTGATGAATAACAGCAACATTCCGATTTATTAGGAACCTTCCTGCAAGCAAATGTAGAGGTACCTGCACTATATTTAAGAGTCTCTTAGAAAGTTGTGACAAGAGAAAAAAAGCTAATTAATTAATGCAAGATTATTTCAGTAAAATATAAAATTACTCTACTTATGAAGTAAATACTGCAAGGGCATCTGATTTACAGCCAGTTAGCCAAAGAATACAACTAGTGACTAGAACACATACATTAGTTAAAAAGTCAAATATATACAAAAATATATTAGAAAGTGGTCGAGTTTAACCACAGGCTCATGTAAAAAAATGTTGTTTTAAATAGCAATAGCAAAAAATAGCTATTTTCTCTATCTGCAACAGTACAAAAGGCAAAACCTACATATGAGGTAGCAATGCCAAATTAAAAAAACAACTTTGGATTGAGGAGCATTTCCTGTGTTTTCATAGCATATCTGTCAATACATATATTTAAATGAACACCTCAATTGTTTCAAGAATTAATACATTAATTTACAAAAACCTTTATTCAATTAACATTTTAAAAAGAATTACTGGAAATTGATTTAGTTTCTGATTTCTCCCGTTTCTAAAAAAGCTATCGCATTTTCAAACCCAAACACTGTACAGCAAAAAGGTGGAGGCTTTATTATACACACTCGGTAAACGCTATGGTACATTAAGACATAATTTACAAAGATCAGAATAAGCCAACTATGGTCATTTTATTCTTTTCTGTCAAATACGCACACGCTGCACCTTTTGCTACCCCATATTCAATGCTCAGTGCAGGATTATGGTTCACCACTCGCTTCCACAGCTGAAACAAGTGTTTGTATCATCTACCCTCAGGAGCCTGAGCCAGAATCCCGATCCCATCCCTTCGCCCCTCCTGCAGGCAAAGGGCAGGAGGGGCCACCTGAGCCTCCCTGACCAAAAAAATCCCGATTAATTAAAAGCCAGGAGGAGGACAATCACCCAGCTAAGCTGTGCCAGCTCTGGGCCCGGGGCCCCTCATGCAGGTCAAATCCTCCACTTCCAGCTCCACTGATGAAAAAGACCCTGCTGCTCCTCCAATTCAGGCAACTAAGTCAGCCATCTGAAGTTAGATGGTACAAGTAACACCAAAAAAATGAACTGGATGGAATTTCTGGTTTATTGCATCAAGAAAATAATATACTTTACATCACAGTGCTTAATTAAATGCAATAAAAAAATGTAAACTCAGGATTCTAGATAAAATTTAGCTTGAAAAATTAGGGCTCCAAGACTTTTTAAAATTCACAATTTTTTAAAAATTGAAGTCACAGACAGTCAGTTCACATAATTCACATATTTAAGATGACTTGTAAATACCTATTGATGCACTCCACTGTTTGGTCACTTGTTTGTTTGGTTTGGTTTTTTGTTTGTTTGTTTTTTTAAAAGCCTAAATAACAAATAGACCAAGTGCAAAGGTAAGAGGTATATTTTTATTTGCAAAGAAACTAACTTTAGAAGTAATTTGCAAATCAGGCATCTGGAGTGCTCTAGTAGATGTAAGGAAATATGCGGTATGGTACACGCTGACAATACCTTTCCCATGCCAAGCCATATTTTTGCTTACAGTGATGTTCATCACGAGCTTCTCGATGAACAAGCAAACAGATGAAATATATCACGTAGAAATATGGTAAAATATGATTGAAACCTGCAGAATAAAGTGAGAAATTCACTTTAAATATAGAAAAAAAAACATTCCAAAAGTGTTAGTTATTAACATACGACTGCTGCATGTTACACTCATATTGCAAAGCATCAAATACTCAACAGGACAGTGCAAAAATTGTGTGACATGTTTACATGCAAACAGGAAGAGACCCACAAAAAGCAATCCTTAAAATCCAGTCTCAAAACCTACCAACTTCACTCTCAATGCACACAAAGCTGGCACATATTTTAAGCTCTTTAGCTACCAAAACCAGAGAAACAGTTAAACCCCTGCAGCACTGAGCTGCCCCACACAAGCCCCCCAGGGTTTTCTCTGTAGGTGGTAACTCTAGATTTGCTCAGAGCACACTACTTGAGTTGTGGATTAAAAACTTGACATGAGCTGACAATGTGCACTGACAGCCCAGAAAGCCAACTATATCCTGGGCTGCATCAAAAGCAGTGTGGCCAGCAGGTTGAGGGAGGGGATTCTGCCCCTCTACTCCACTCTCATGAGACCCCACCTGGAGCACTGCATTCAGCTCTGGAGCCCTCAGCACAGGAAAGACATGGACCCGTTGGAGCGGCTCCAGAGGAGGGCCACAAAAACGATCAGAGGGATGGAACACCTCTCCTGTGAGGAGAGGCTGAGAGAGTTGGGGTTGTTCAGCCTGGAGAAGAGAAGGCTCCAGGGAAACCTAATTGCGGCCTTTCGGTACATAATGGGGGCCTGCAGGAAAGATGGGGAAGGACTTTTTAGCAGGACCTGTTGCGATAGGACAAGGGGTAATGGTTTTAATCTAAAAGAGGGTAGATTCAGGCTAGATACGCAGAAGAATTTTTTTACAATGAGGGTGCTGAAGGACTGGCACAGGTTGCCCAGAGAGGTGGCAGATGCCCCATCCCTGGAAACATTCAAGGTCAGGATGGACAGGGCTCTGAGTGAGCAACCTGATCTAGCTGAAGATATCCCTGCTCAATGCAGGTGGGTTAGACCAGATGACCTTTAAAAGTCCATTCCAACCAAAACCATTCTATGATTCCATAATCCCTTCCCACCCATCCTCACCCCCTACACAGTTACAGCAGCACTTCCACTTCTGCCATTACGAAGCTGACAGAGAATTCGAGTCCTTCATTTTCATGGGTGGAATGCTCTTCTAGGATACTGTCTACAAGTGTATATGCTAATTTAGTATCATCTACTTCCAATTAAAATCTAAAATAAAATTAACCCCTGGAGGAACACCTGAATCCCAGCATCCACTCTCAGCCCACACTGCTGCTCAGGGCCTTAACCACTTGATGAGAAAGTTCCACTTTATCAAAACTCCCTGTGTCTCACAGTCTGCAGAAGTCAGCTCTGTCTCAGAAGAGAATCTGTCATGCTCATCTCTGTGCTTTTATAGAAAGGAAACTCCTTCAGGCAAGGGAGGAGCCCAAAGCCACTTTTCAAACTTGAATTGAGAGGGGGGCAGGACTACCATGATGAAACATATCTTCTGAGACTGTCACCGCTCTTTCTAAGCTCTTGCAAAGAACCAGGACTACAAAACCCCATTGGACAAAAGGCTCCCTAATTTCCTCCAAGTGTAAACTTCATGGAAACTAAGAAGTAGTCATTAACAAAAACTTTGAAACAGAATTCCATTCCTTTGTGTTTGATGACTTTTTTTGTTTGGTTGTTTTTTTCGGTTGTTTTGTTTGTTTGTTAGGTACTTTGCCTGAAGTCTGTCCCTGCGTGTGGTAGCCCTTGACTCCACGCGAACTCCCACTTTCTGGGAGCTCCCTTTGAAAACACTACAGCACAGCAAATTAGCCTAAACAAATGTAAGGAACAACTCATTAGCAAGCAAGCCCCTTGCAGAAATTTGCCATTCAATTAATTACAGGTTTTAGTATCTCAATCATCACTTTGCATTTCAAACCCAGTCAGATGCCAACACACGCAAGCATTTTTGATAAAATCCACTTTAGTTTCAGGAACTTACCGCAGGGTAGGGACCATGCTAGAGCCATGATGATGTCACCGAGATAATTAGGGTGACGAACAAAACCCCACCAGCCCGTGACAAGAAGCCCTTTTCCAGTTGCAGTGGGTATAAATTTCAGATCTGTGAATAGAGTATTGTAGTCAATACAACAATTGAAATGTGTATTTAACAAAGAGACATTGTATAGCAATTGAACAAATAA